ACACACACACACACACACACACACACACACACACACACATATACATATATCTCATATATACATATATACATACATACATACATATATGCACATACCATTCCATCAGTGCCCGAATAGAAAACCCAGGATGTAAACACCTGTTTGTGTGTGGTTGTGAGCATACATGGATCTCTCCAATGGAATGTTTCAAAATGACTGTGGGGGACCACAGACCCGACCCGCAAAGCCAGAAGCCGACATAAGGGAGACCAGCGCCAAAGACCTTGAGAGGGACCCCAAGCGCACAGCCCCAGAGACACTCGCGCCGGAAGGGCTGCCCACCCACCCCACAAAGAGGACCACCGGAGAAAACCGGAAGAGCCCCACCAGCGACCACACACAGTAACCCCTGGGGCCAGCAGCGACGAACTCACAGGCCCTGCCGGTACCCACCGAGCCAGAGTGGATCCAGGCATGGACACAGAGGCCCGGGCCCCCAGGGCGCCCCCTGAGAGGCCAAGGCCCGACAGAGCCAGAGGGACCCAAGCCCCACTGGGCAGCCACTGGGCCGAGCCGGCACATGCCCAAGCACCCAGCCCCGGACAACGAGAGCCACCAGTGCGCTGGCGGGCAAAGGCACAACCCACCAGAGGACAGCATGGCAGGGGAGTAATGGGCCCTCAAATGATCCCGAAGAAGGGGCTGCCCAAGTCCCAGTCTGACAAAAATATAAGCATACATAAACACAATCACATAGTCCCACCCTCATCCTCTCACCCACTCATTCAAAGACACACAAGATGGACGCCACAATCCATTCACACTCCCCATACATACTCTATACCCGCCAGGTCCAGGATATGCACCCACCCCCTACAGAGGGCAGCTCACACCTGAACCCAGGAGGTAGACCCCTTCAATCTGGGGTGGAGAAGAGCAGACAGCCAAGTCCCAGCCCGGGCCGCACCAGTCCAACCGACCAGCCCCCCGCCCCAGCAAAGCCACGCCCCGGACCACCCCCACACCCTACTAAAGGCCAGGTGCCCACCCCCAACCGACCACCCCCCAGACTCCGGCAGCCACCCCAGCCAGTGGGCCAAACACAGCAACCAGGAGCCAGACTCTGGGAGCCCGAACAGCCCCAGGGAAGCCGGAGCGCCAGCCCCGCCTCCGGAGCCCCTCCAAGCCCCATGTCCGCCCGCAGCCCAGGCCCCACCAGACAGTCAGCCACCCCCCCGACCCCATCCCCAGACAGCCAATGGGGAACTGGGGAGGGAAAAAGACCCCAACACACACACCTCCACCCTCAGATGTACTGTTGATGTGTGATGTTCTATAATACAATTAAAACGGGGAAGAAGACAGGGCAGAGGCCAGCACTATGCCAGTTTCCCCTCCACCCCAACTCTAACCCTAACCCTAAATGTCTAAAAGCAAACAATGTGAGTGGGCACAGGCATCAGTGGYGAGACTGTCCCATCCCGCCCCTTACATGCATAAGTGCCCACTCCCAAGTTCCTATGTGGAAATGTTATCAGGTTATGAGTAAATGTCTAAGGTGTACAGTAAAATTGGAGCCCAGGTGGCCACAGCTTCTTAATCTTAATGGGATTTTCCTGGTGAACTAAAGGTTTATTAAAATAATAATAATAATAAAAATAAAAAAATATGGTGTGGTAGTAGCTGAGCATCATTACTATTACAAGCACTAAGAGACTTTCTTGGAATTCTGGATGCAAGCATATGGTGAGCATATCAAGGTTTGACCCAAAAGGCTAAAACTCCTTAATATTTCAAGATAAAATGGTTTTAGTTAAAACTTAAGGATAAAAGGGATAGTGGGCAATAAGCATTCCTTCAGGATATGCTAGGCCTTCTTTTTTATTTTTCTTCTTTTGGGATTAAGATGAGTTTTGAGCCAGAGGAAATACCACAGATTTGAGCTTCTTTTCCTGGAAAAAAAACTTGTTATAATGTTTTTTTTTCTTTTTTGCTCCTTTTTTTCTCTACTATTCCTTTTGCAGCCAAGCTGGGAGACACAGACGAACTCCAGAGTTTTATCGACATGTTGGACCAGGAGCTCGCTGGTGCGTATTTCACTTCATCTCATCTTTCTCCTTTTTTCGCTCTCAAGCTGAAGATCCTGCAGGCTGTGGCGTGTTGTGGTGGCAAAAAGACACTGACAGGGAGATGTTTTACTCCACTTTGAAAAAAAAAGAAAAGAACAAGAGTATGGGGTGCCAAGTGTAAAAGCAAATGTTAAAAATGTCATTAATACATTTACATTATTTAGCTCACTTTCTGAGTGTAAAATCCTAGTTCAAACATTTCCTCAACATTTTGATGTTATTTAGCTCACTGTTCTCACATTTTGCAATTTTTTTTACTAAATGTTACATTTAGTTACATTATTATGTGTAAATATGCAATCCTAAATCTAAATTTGTAAATCTAAATGTAAAATTGAATATTAAATGTTGCAATTAAATGATAAAGCTAACATTTATAAATTTCAGAATGGGACACAGCCTTTGCTGTTTGTGAGGTGCTTTTGTTGTGACATCATCATTCTGTGACAAAAGCTACCGCTAATGTGGCTAACTTTGCTGATGATGGAAATTAAAATATAAATTCAAAATGTGTTCATTGAAAACAATATGGATGGTAACTGTGGTCTGACAGTTTGAAGTGCAGCTCGAATACCAGCCGCAAGTTTGATGTCCTCTAAGAAAGCGGCATCAGCAGAATAAGCAGAGTTAGCAGAGTTAGCAGCGTTAGCAGCGTTAGCAGCATTAGCGGTTGCTTTTGTCTCAGAATTTACTGTATTTATTTACCATCATTTAACCAGGCAAATCCCACTGAGATCAATCTAATTTGCAAGAGAAGCCTGGGCCTTAAAGCAACTTATTGTACATATTTTTGGTATTTTTGATAATGGCACCATAACAAAAACAGCTCACCGACAGCAAAGGCTGTGTTGCATTCAGAAATACTTCAGTTTAAACTTCAACATTTAGCCACATAAGATTTAACTTTTACATTTAGATTTACACATTTAGGTTCAGAATTTAACATTTAGACATAACATTTAACATTTAAATTTAATCTTTAGTAAAAATGAGCAAAATGTGAGAACAGTGAGCTAAATAATAAAATGTTAGTGGAATTTTAGGATTTTACACTTTTTAACATTTTTTACACTTGGCACCCTAAAGAGCAGCAATAGCCACCTTGTTTCTCCCTACTACTGTGGCCCTCTTTTTTATCTCTGAGCACCGTTTTTATGTGAAAATGCCAACACCCGGGCACTGAGGTGGACTATCTACACTGCTCTTTTGTGTTAATGGTGCACTCGACTCCATGAGCATCATGATCCTCCTATCTGCGCTAAGAGAGTGGTGCTTTAGCAGGTGCGTGAATGTGCTCGGTGCGTGCGCGCGGGGCCGTAAAGAATAAAAACATACATCTGCTGCTGTCGATGGGCTCGACATGGAGAGAATTAATGTTGCAAATTAATCGTAACTTCCCCCTGTATCTCTACAAGGCCAACCTATTAGTCAGTGCATGTTTGTGGGTGTGTGTTGATGTATGCCTGTGTGCAATTCTTTTTATAAACTTTGCTTTTTTTCCTCTCAACCCCCCCCACCCCCATCACCCCTGTTCTGCAGAGATGTGAGAAGAGATAGAGAGGGCGAGGCACCGGGCAAGAAAGTGAGATCTACACCAGCACTGATCAAATGGGGCTAATTCTTCTCTTGCTGCTTCAGGCAGGGGGAAAAAAAAATCACGAACAAGATTACCTTCAGAAATTAAAAAGACACTTCATTTTGAAATGCAACAACAGGCTCAGGTGCCTCCGGCAATGCCACGTCCAGCCAGCAACGTGACATCCCTGCAGCATCAGGTCCAAAATGTGTGACACATTCCACCCGAAAATAGACAACGCCTCCATCTGTTTAGGCTAAATTTATAATTCCTATATACAAAGATAGTCCTTATTCCTCCCTGCCWTTGAAAGTCAGACTTTAGAAGTACAAATGGCACTTTACCTTCAAAACAAATTTAAAATCTAAAGGCTTTAGATCTGCTGTTTAATGATAAATGTTACTTGTGTGCTGGGATTTGCATTGTACATTCATTGTTAATATTTTATGTATGTATATTGTTGTACATATTTCTGAGTTTATAAATAAAGCTACATTTTGAATACGTTTGATTTGTTTTCTTTTCTTGCACAATGTGAAGACATTTGATTGGACATTTAGAAAACATCTGAAACTCCTGACAACTATTTGATGTGTCTGTTGCGACTGTTACCATAGTGACACACTTTCTGTTCTGTTTGCATCGCCRCTTCCTGTATGTCTGTTCGGATTAGGCTGGGAGTTTCACTTCTGTCACCAACTCCGGAAAACCGCAAATGTAGCTCAGATGCGTCGCTCACACCATACRACGACAGCTAAAAGAGGAAATACGTGACTTGTTGCCTGAGAAACAATATTCATGTGGGTTTTGTTTAATTCTGTGCAGGGCTTTTGTTGAAAATTCAAAACACAGTCAATCTTTGATTAGGGGGAAAACAGCTTAGTCTCATAAAGCAGAGAAGATGGTTGTATTCTTGTCRTTTGGTTGTTCTGTAGAAAGGTTATGAACAATTGACCTGAGCAAATATTTGTATTCCTTGAACTTTTCCACATTTTGTCATAATACARTCACAAAGTTCATGTATTTGAATSGGATTTTATGTGATAGGTCAACACCAAACAGCACATAATAGTGTAGTGGAGGGAAAATGATACAGTGTTCCTGAGTAAAAGTCTTTTCGARTATATCTACCAGCTTTGAACATGTAGTCACAAAATTTTACAGCTATTTTTCTTTGCAAAATCAAATTGCTCAAGCTCRGTCACATTGGATGTTGAGCATCAGTTTTCAAGTCTTTCCACATACTCTCTGTTAGACCCAGGCCTGAGCTTTGACCAGGCTATTCTAACAGCTGGAAATGCTTCAACCTAAACTATTTATTCATAGCTCCGGTTGCATTTTTCACTTCTGCTTCAAGTGAAACTGTTCCAGTTTCAAGTCTGTTGCAGTTTCCAAAATCATTTCTTCCAGGACTTAAATCTGTTGATCTTCCCATCAGTTCAAACTGTTGAAAATTGTGTAGCRTTTCCTTTACATTGTCTAAYACATAAAATCCCAGTAAAATACTTGGAAGTTATTGATTGTAACAACATTTGAACAAGTTAAAACAATTGCAAAACTTTTTCAAGGCACTGAATCTTAAATCTTTTCAATTTTTTTTTCAATCTGGAGAAATGTCATTTCACTCTGATCAGATCAGCCCAAAGTGGACATATCTTACTTTTAAATCATTCTTTTCCACATTTAAATCATTCAATTGAAGTCTGTATGTGACCCATCATATCAAAATGAGGATTAAGTTTAATTTGGTCAAAATAACCTAATTGCATTTTCAGACTCCTGGCTTTAAATGTTACATTTTGATACCTGGATCATTCTGATATCATAAGCTTATCCAAAGATATGACTTAAGTTTTCTCGTTGGTTACAATAATACATTACTGTTTGGTCTGAATCCTAATTTTGTGTAATTTTTTTATGTCAATATAAAAAGGAAATATCAAATAGTATTTGCATATTAAGATTTCCCAGTTGGAAAGAAACAAAAACTTTGCTTGCTCACAGAGAAAAATTCAAAAATTTAAGGCGCTTTTCCTCAAAAAAAATTTTTTTGTTGCAGCTCAAAATTGTACTCAGGATTATATTTCAGACAGTTCATCCAAATGATACATTGAAAAGGCATTAATTCATTATATTTTGACAAAATGCAATTTTTGCACACATTTAAATCAAAACCCTATATCTGCCTGTTTCTAAACATTCCACTTTTGGACTTAATCCTCGTTTCGATGTGATGGGTCACATAGAAAGGTACAAACTTTGGTCTGAATTCCTCCTTATTGTAACTCCACAAGCCCCTCTTTCRCCTCTTTTCTGAAGTGTGTCTCAGATCAACTCGTTTTGTGGCTGTCTCTTTAAATCCAAGCAAGGCCCTTCACACCCCGCCCATCTTCCAGCTTCCAGAGCAGTCAGCTCCAGTTTGACAGAAGAGTTTACGACTATCCAGCGGCACAGAAACATTTATTGTTATTTATTTATATATTTTATTTTGAGATCACWGATGTCAATGGGATTTGCTGCAGATGGTTTAAAAAATAGTGTTTGCACGCCCACTGTGAATTTTTAAAGACAGCAGCAATCCACTTTGTTCTTGCTGTTACTCAGACTGGATTAGCTCAACCGTCAGATTTAAACTCAGTTTTCCCAAATCAGGTAGAAATAAAAACAGATGTGTTGGAGTCACTTAAATTGTGTCAGCAAGTCTACWGAATTCAGTAAATGTAAAGCAATTTTTCCTTTTACATAAGAAGTGAACGTGAAGTAAAAGTGTTGTTATTTATTCGGTTTGAGTGGAACCTGTTGACATGATTTAAGTAAATTCAACACATCTGTTTTTGAGTTCAACTTCCTCAAAACTGCCATTTTCAAAAGATCTGAACTGAGCCTTTTTAATGTTTTGTGGATAAAGGAAGCAGTCCACGGGTGTTTCCTGTGGTTGTCAAGCAAACACACAAGGGTGCAGTAAATGTTGTGTTCATAGGGTGTATGATTTTTCACTTGTGACTCAAAAATTCATAATTCGAGACCCAAGGAGTGCAATCCGGCTGACACAGACACAATTATTTTTAGCCTGCTGAGGGGATTGTTTCAGTTTAGTTCAGAGAAGAAGTAAGCCCATCGATCATTAATTTGAACTGTTTGATTAGACGTCTTATTGTAATTACGCAGCCTCTGGTTTCAGGGTAATGAAAGCCAACAAGAGCTGTTTTTTTTTTTCTTTCTTTCTTTTTGGCCAGCTGGAAACAGATGTCAACAGCGAGCAGTTTATTCAATCGTCATTGTTCTCTCTTTAGAAATCCCGACACTGCTCACTGATATAACCTCCAGCAGCGGTGATAATACAGCACAATGGATGGAATGCCTGAGTGGACCTATTTTTTGACAGAATGTCAGAACCCAGAAGACAAAAAAAAAAAAAAAAAAAAAAAAAAAA